GCTGAGTCCCAATTAGTTGCAAAAAGTCCTTCGGGAGAAGTCCTTCGGGATAATCACCAACTTTTATCTCCCTTGAGACGCTGCCAAAGACCTACTTGGCAAAGCCACACGGACTCCAGAATCAAACAGAGATGCCGACTGGGAACAGAATTAACAACATTGCTTTCCTGCAAAGGGCCCACGTGCCTTTGTTCCTCTTTTAAGCCTTATGGGATGGGCCAGTCATCTCCAGGCCTTACTCCCAAGTCGCCCCTTTTGTTTTAACTGTTCTTGCCTTCTGGCAGCTCTGCGCATGTGTGCACTAGGAACAGGCTCCTCCTGTTCCTCTGCCTCTCTGCTGTCCGACTCTGGAGACTGGAGTTAGCGCATCACTCCAGATGGCCCTGGCCCCATCTCTGCCTCCAACGCAGAGCCCTCATCCAAGCCTTCCCCAGACTCCAGGACTGGCCCATGTTCCTCCCCAGCCTCCTCACTGTCCCGACTCTGCTGCCAGCTTCACAGGCTGCTGGTGGACCACAACAGCCACTTCTGCGAAAGGCAGCAGGTCCACTCAATCCTCTTGCTGGTAATCCACATAACATCTTATGTATTGTTCCACCAGTGTGTTCATCCATTCCGTGGCTCCGTTCGTTCTCGGATGAAAAGCCGAGCTAAACCCCTGAGTTGATCCGATGGATTTCAGGAACTCTCTCCAGAACTTGGTGGTGAACTGGATGCCTCGGTCTAAGATCATCTGACGGGGCACTCTGTGCAGCCGATAAATCTGCTTCATGAACATTTTAGCCAGCTTTTTGGCTGAGGATAATCCCAAGCAAGCAGTGAAGTGGGCTTGTTTACCGTCCAAATGACTGTATTTCTTTCACTCTCTGGAAGTTCGATTATAAAGTCCATGGTGATCTCCTCCCAGGGTCAGCTGGGGTTAGCCACTTGTTGGAGGAGTCCAGAAGGTTCCCCTGGTCTCATCTTCATGGCGGCGCAGGTAGCACAGCTTTTTACATAGTCCTCTACATCGGCTTTCATCTTCGGCCACCAGAACTGCCTTCGGGCCAGGTGAAGGGTTTTTAGGAAGCCGAAATGGCTGTCCAGTCGTGAATCGTGGCTGCGCTGTAAAACTTGCAGGCTCAAGCTCTTGGGGACATACAGTTTGGACCCCTTCCAAGCTAGCTCCTCTTTCATGGTTAAAATGTCTTTGTTTTCATTAAACCATTGGTCGGCTGGGAGCGCAGCCTTTAGCGCAGCTGTCAGTTTTTCCCGCATGGGATCAGTTTGGTGTTTGGCTTGTCCTCTGGTGGTAACTTGCACTGCTTGTTGTGATGGGGGGATGGTGGCATGGACGACTTCCTCCCTCCGACTATCGAATTGTGGTTTTCTTGATAATGCGTCAGCTAGCAGATTTTCCCCTTCCCCCCGATGTACTTTAGCTCGAAGTTAAACTGCCAGAAATACTGTGCCCAGTGGACTTACTTGGGGGAAGAATTTTCGAGGGGTCTTTAGGGCTTTGAGGTTTTTGTGATCAGTCCAGACCTCGAAAGGCACCTTGCTCCCTTCCAGGAAGGGTCTCCAGAAGAGGAGAGCCCAGTGGACTGTGTAGGCCTCCTTCTCCCAAATTGCCCACCTCCTCTTGGTATCAGTGAGTTTTTTAGACACATACGCGCAAGGCAAGAGCTGACCGTGTGGGTCCTTCTGCAGGGACACTGCTGCCACCGCCACGTCTCTGGCATCGGCTTGGACAATGAATTGCCTTTGAGGGTTGGAGTGTTGGAAAATTGGCTCTTAGGCAAAAAACCGCTTCAATTTTTCAAATGCTTTCTGACACTCCAGTGACCAGGCATCGGGTGCGGTTTCGTAGGAGTGTGCCCTATTTTCAATAGTTCCGTTAGTGGCAGGACTACATCTGCAAATGCTGGAATGAATTGTCTATAGAAGTTTGCAAACTCCAGGAAGTTTTGGAGTTGTTTGCGGGTGCATCGGGGTTGCCAGTCTAGCATCGCTTTCATTTTCCCTGGATCCATCTTAACTCCCTCGCTTGACACTCGGTAGCCCAGGTAGTCTAGGGAGGTCTTATAGAATTCACATTTAGATAGTTTCTCACAGAGCTTTGCGGCCAGGAGTTTTTTTCAGTACCTGTCACACTAACTTAATGTGCTCTTCCAGCGTTTTGCTGAATATGAGAATGTCATCCAGCTAGGACCGTTTATACAAGTGCTCGTGCAGCATCTCGTTAAATTAGCTGCACAAAGACTGCGGGGGCTCCCTGGAGCCCAAATGACATGACTTTAGGTTTAGGTTTAGGTTTATTAAATTTGTATACCGCCCTTCTCCCGAAGGATTTAGGGTGGTAAACAGCCAAAATTAAAATACATACAGTATAAAAATTAAAATAAATTAAAACAGAATTAGATCAGTTTGGCTTCCCCAAATTTTAAAACCCTTTACCCATAAAATAGCCCATTAAAATTTTAAGCCAGCCCGGCTTGCTGAAATAAGAAGGTCTTCAACGCTCGGCGGAAAGTACGGAGGTCTGGGATCAGTCGTATGTCTGGGGGTAGCTCGTTCCAGAGGGCGGGTGCCCCCACAGAGAAGGCTCTCCCCCTGGGGGTCGTCAGTCAACATTGCTTGACCGACAGCACCCTGAGGAGACCCACTCTGTGGGAGCAGATTGGCCGGTGAGAGGTTATCGGTGGCAGAAGGCGGTCTCGTAAATACCCGGGCCCTAAGCCATGGAGCGCTTTAAAGATGAGAACCAATACATTGAAGCGCACCTGGAAGACCCCCGGGAGCCAGTGCAGCTCGCGCAGGAGAGGTGTTACATGGGAGCGCCATGTTGCCCCCATAATTACCCACGCAGCTGCATTCTGGACCAGCTGGAACCTCTGGGTGCTCCTCAAGGGGAGCCCCATGTAGAGAGCATTGCAGTAGTCCAGTAGTCCAGGCTAAATTGGAAGCTGCCCAGCAGACATTTGAATGCAGTTTTGCCATTTGTCCCCCTCCCTAATCCGTATCCGATAATAGGCTTCTCTTAGATCTAGTTTGGTGAACACTTTGCCCTTCGCCAGATGGCTTAACTCAGTGATGGTTAGCCTTTTCGGCACCGAGTGCTGAAACTGGTACGCGGTGCCGGAAGCCGAAACCTGGAAGAGAGCAGTTGGCTGGAGCACATGCATGCAACGGAACCCAGAAGAGCAGCTCGCAACAACACACATGCCCACAGAGAGGGCTCTGTGTGCCACCTTTGGCATGTGTGCCATAGGTTTGCTATCATGGGTTTAGCATGTCTTTCATTAGGGGGAGGGGGTAGGTGTTCTCCACGCACACAGCATTAATTCTGCAAAAATCAACACAGAGTCTCATCCCCCCGTCATATGATCAGAACAGAATAACGAAGTTGGAAGGGACCTTGGAGGTCTAGTCCCAACTCCCTGCTCAAGCAGGAAACCCTATACCATTTCAGACAAATAGCAGTCCAATCTCGTCTTGAAAACTTCCAGTGTTGGAGCATTCACAACTTCTAGTGGCAAGTTGTTCCACTGATTAATCAAAGTCCAGACACTTGACAGTTAACTCATATTTATGATGGTTGCAATGTCACGTGATCACCTTTTGTGACCCTCTGATAATCAAATTCAGTGGGGAAGCCAGAATCACTTAGGGTAGCTACCGTCTTACTAACTTAAAAACTGCAGTGATTCGTTTAACAAATGTGGCAAGCAAGGTCGTAAAATGGGGCCACAAGTCACTTAACAACCGTCTTGCTTAGCAACAGAAATTTTGGGCTCAGTTGGGGGTCATAAGCCACAGTGGCGCAGTGGTGAGAGTGCAGTACTGCAGGCTACTTCCGCTGCCTGCCGGCTGCCTGTAATTTGGCAGTTCAAATCTCACCAGGCTCAAGGCTGACTCAGCCTTCCATCCTTCCGAGGTGGGTAAAATGAGGACCCGGATTGTTGGGGGCAAATATGCTGACTCTGTAAACTGCTTAGAGAGGGCTATAAAGCGGTATATAAGTCTAAGTTCTATCAATCAAGGACTTACTTATATCCATTCCTGTGAAAACTTGCAAAAGAGTCGACTTTTGTGTTCATTTGCTCCCTTCTCTACCGTCTCTAGCTTAGCAGGTCTCCAAAGTCAAATTCCCCACATAAATTATCTCCCAGCCATTCTGTCTCCTTTTCGCTTCTTGGTAATTTATAATTAAAAATCCCCGCCACCTCAGTCATCGGCCCACTTCGGAGGGTCTTGCAAATCAGGCTATAAAAGTCCAATAAACAGCCACCTTAAAGCTGTAAAACCCATCAACAGGAAGTTAAACTTTTATCATAGGAATAAAAAATAGATACCGAAAGATCAGGGGAAATTTAAAAAGATTCTCACTTCTTTAAAAAAAAAAGGGGGGGGGGGGGGGGAAAAGATGAATTCTAAAAGAGGCTTTTCAGACAGAAAATAATTGCAAAGGGGGTTCGTGATTAAAATCCCTGTAATTTCTACCTGCCTCATTTGGAACGTGGGGCGTTCGGAAATACTCTACAGGTAGTCCTCAATTTACAACAGTTTGTTTAGTGACCATTCAAAGTTACAATGGCACTGAAAAAAAATGAGTTTTTATGGATTTTCACACTTACGACCATTGCAGCGTCCCCATGGTCACTTGATCAAAATTCAAATGCTTGGCAACTGAGTCATATTTATGACGGCTGCAGAATCCCGGGGTCACGTGATCCCCTTTTGCGACCTTTTGGCAAACCAAGTCAGTGGGGAAGCCGGATTCACTTAACAACCGTGTTCCTAACTTCACAACCGCAGTGATTCACTTAACGACTGTGGCAAGGAAGGTTGTAAAATGGGACAAAACTCAACAACCTTCTCGCTTAGCAACAGAAATCTGGGGGCTCCATTGTGGCCGTAAGTCGAGGAGGAGAAATTGGGGAAACTTTCAGAAAGGGGAAGCAAAGTTGAGATAAAAACCACGTGCTGTTTTTTAAAAATTCTTCCTTCTTCTTTCTCAGGTTTCGTGGTGGGACAAGCAGGATTGTACCAATCGCTGGTGATGTTTCTGGTGGCCTATTTCATCATCGGAATGACGGTCCTGTCGGTGTGTGCGATCTCTACCAACGGGGCCTTGGACGCCGGGGGTGCCTACTGTATCCTTTATGTGCAAAGCCCCAAACTATTCAAACCACTTTGAGATCAGCCTCTCCCAGTGGTGAAATCTAAAATTTGTTACTACCGGTTCTGTGGGCGTGGCTTTTTTTTTTTTTAATTTGATTTATATGCCGCCCTTCTCCGGAGACTCAGGGCGGCTTACAATGTGCTCAGCAATAGCCTTCATCCTTTTGTATATTTATACAAAGTCAGCTTATTGCCCCCACAAACTGGGTCCTCAATTTACCTACCTTAGAAAGGATGGAAGGCTGAGTCAACCTTGAGCCTGGCGAGATTCGAACCTGCAGTAATTGCAGGCAGCTGGTCTTAATAACCAGCTTAATAACAGGGTGCCTTAGACCACTGTACTACCAAGGCTTGGTGGGAGGGTTAATGTGACTGGGTGGGCATGGCCAATTTAAAAAAAAAATTTTTTTACTTTTAAAACCATTTTTTCTACAAGATCTTCGGCGAAGAGGTTGTTAAAAAATGCTTTCAAAAGGCTCTGACGATCCCAGCTGAGTTGCCTGATCAGCAGAGGCTTTTTTTCTTTTAAAAGCCTCTGCCGATCAGGCAACTCAGCTTGGATCGTCAGAGGCATTTAAAAGAAAAAAAAACCTCTGCCGATCAGGCAACTCAGCTGGGATCCTCAAAGGCTTTTAAAAGTATTTTTTCTACAACCTCTTCAGAGGTTGTAGAAAAAAATGCTGTAGAAAGCATTTTAAAAACGCTTTTAAAAGCCTTTGAGGATCCCAGCTGAGCCGCGCGATCATCAGAGGCTTTTTTTTTTACTTTTAAAAGCATTTTTTCAGCCAAAGAGGTTGTAGAAAAAATCCTTTTAAAAGTAAAAAAAAAAAGCCTCTGATGATCGTGCGGCTCAGCTGGATATGATTGGGGGGGGGGCAGGGATTTTTGCTACTGGTTCTCCAAACCACCTGCCTCCATCGCTACCGGATCAGGTGATCTGGTCCGAACCGGGAGCATTTCACCCCTGGCCTCTCCCAACCTAAGCACTTCCAGCACAGCGGCTGCCAGATCCTGAAATTGAGAAAAATCGATTTAGAGCAGGGGCGTCAAACTCAAAGCCTGCGGACTGGATCCGGCCTGCAGGGTGCTTACATTGGGGCCGCCCTGGAAACAGCAAAGGACTGGTCCGCGGGGCCTCTGCCAGTGAAAATGGAGCAGGGCTGCGCGTGGCCGAAAACAGGACCCGGAGGGGTTGCGTGCAGCCCCCCCTGCCCCTGAGCTCCGTTTTTGCTGGCAGAGGGTTATCAAAACAAACTAAAAACCAAAGGAGAAATGTTTTGCCCTTTTGCATTTGAGCACGCAAGAAAGGGACAGGAAAGGAGAAAGGGAAAGAGGAAAGACAAAGAACAAGAAGGGAAGATGAGAAGAGAGCAAGGAAGGAAAAAGAAGGAAAGAGCGGAAGGAAGAAGAAAGGAGAAGGAAGAAGGAAGGAAAAAGAAGAGGAATAGTAATAATAATAATAACTTTATTGTCATTGTACCAGTGGTGGGTTCCTCCCGGTTCGGTCCGGTCCGGTTCGGCCGAGCCGGTAGTGGTGACGATATGACGTCACCGAACCGGTTCTCCCTCCCCGCCCTCCCACCCCCCCACGTTATTCTTATCTTTTATTTGGTCCCACCCCCAATCTATTGCTGCCTCCTGAGTCCCAGCTGATGACTAGAGGGGAAAAAACTGTTTAAACTCTTGCCATGGGGTTTCAAAGGGCCGCCCTACAGCTGATCAGTGTTAAAAGCAAACAAATGAATCGGGTCGTAAGTGCGAGGACTGGTCGTAAGTGCGAGGACCTTCCAGAAATGACTCTGACCAGCTAGCCACGCCCACCTAGTCACATGACCTCCAAGCCACACCCACAAAATAAGCCACGCCCACAGAACCGGTAGTAAAAAAATTTAGAACCCACCCCTGCATTGTACGTGTATACACAGTATACCCATCCAACGAAATTCACTTAACACCCAAAGACCAAGTCCAACACACAGGAAGGAAGGAAGGAAAGAAGGAAGGAGATTATGAGAGCGAGCGAGGGAGGGTCTGAGGGAAGTCCTACCTTAGCACGTGGCCACCACAGGTGCCCCCGACACCTGTGATGTCGAGCTGGCCACGCCCATTCCAGCCACGCCCACCCCTCCCCCTCGAGGTCAAACACAACTCTGATGCAGCCCTCAATGAAATCGAATTTGACACCCCTGATTTAGAGGTACCCTGTTTCCCCGAAAATTAGACATCCCCTGATAATAAGCCCAATCGCATGCACTAAAATAAGCCTTCCCCCCAAAAATAAGCCCTCTCCGAAAATATTTAAACGCAGAGCTGGAAATCAGGTAAGACGGCAAGAGGAGTCCCGTCTTGCTCCACGCACCCCAAAATAATAAGACCTCCCCGAAAATAAGGCCAAGCACTTACTTCGGGGTTCAAAAAAAAATATAAGACAGGGTCTTATTTTTGGGGAAACATGGTAGTCCTCCAATAGAGGAGAATACAGGTTGTCCTCGTCTTACAACCATTTGTTTAGTGACCGTTTGTAGTTACAAAAGGAAAAGGAATTAATCCATTCAGGAAAGGAACCAAAACTCGGCACTGAACGGTGTCGAGCTTTAAGGGATAGTACAGATAGCCCTCGACTTAAAATGGACCATTTAGTGACCGTTCAAAGTTACAACGGCAAAACTAATGCAGGGTGGATTTGATTTAAATCACTAGTAAAAAGACTTGATTTAAATCAACTCGATTTAAATCATAATTTTTAAAGAGCAACTGTCATCTCTGCTACTCCTTTGACCCGCTGTTGACTCACCGATAGTCCCAGTGTTGCAGAATATACAGCCTCCTGCTACATAACTAAGCTCCATTTCATGCTGAATAAACTAAATTATTTATGTATCTTTTTTTTTTTACTTTTTTTTTATTGAAAAAGTTTTTCAAATACAGATTTTTCCCCCTTTCCCCCCCCCCCCCCCTCCCCTCCCCCTGTGGCTTCTCCAAAATAAAACCCAAATTAATAACAGATTATATAATACTTTACCATCCTTTTAAAATCCTTTATTTATGTATCTTAAATAAAAAACTATTTTATGAGAGATGTTTACCCCAAAAGTTTTTTATTAAAATAAATTCAATAAAAATCAAAAAAATCCGATTTAAATCAAAAAAATCCGATTTAAATTAAAAAAAAATCCGATTTAAATTAAAAAAATCCAATTTTTTTTTATTTTTTTAAAAAAAATCATTGATTTTTATCCACCCTGATTTAATGTCTCACTTTGCAACAAAATTTTGGGGCTCAGTGGTGGTCGTAAATTGAGGACTGCCTGTAATCTCTGTAATCACTAATCACTTCGCTCCTTATGGCAATGCCATGTTTTTCCCCAAGGCCAATTCTCAATTGTTTTCCCCTAAAAAGGTTGGAATTCTGATCTGGCAGAGATGGGGGAACCCCCAATTCTCCCCTTCCTGGTCTCCCCAAGGTAGCAAATATTCTTTTTTCCTTGACCCGCTTGGCACAGATATGATCAGCCGGGCTTTGGGCCCTGAATTCGGTGGCAGCATTGGCCTCATGTTCTTCTTTGCCAATGTTTGTGGCAGTGCCCTCTACATCTTGGGCCTGGTGGAGGCCGTGGTGGATGACTTCGGCAGCCCGGCAGGTGAGAAAGGCTCAGCTAACGCCCTTTGCGTGTTTCCCGATGAACACATTTGATGAAAAGGTCTAAGTTTTCAGCGGCGCCTGCCGTTTGCATCAAACACGTTTTTTTTAAAAAAAAACCACAACCTGTGAAACTTGTGAGAACTTCTGCCTTTTCATCAAATTTGTTCCTTGAAAAGTTGCCCCCTGACTCCCTCAAATTGTTGGCCACCACAAATGAACATGGTTCCCTCCCAAATTCCCAGAATTGAGAGATTTGTAAGAACATTGCAAGGAAGAGGCAGGACTAGTCGGAATTCCAAAATCAATTCCAAAATCTTGTCAAGGGGACCCTCATTTTATGAGTTTTATAATCTGTCCTTCTCTAGACCAGGGGGTCGCCAAAGTTGAAGTCCATAAGTCTTTAAAGGCTGGCTGGGGAATTCTGGGAGTTGAAGTCCACAAGTCTTAAAGACTGGCTAAGGAATTCTGGGAGTTGAAGTCCACAAGTCTTTAAAGGCTGGCTGAGGAATTCTGGGAGTTGAAGTCCACAAGTCTTTAAAGGCTGGCTAAGGAATTCTGGGAGTTGAAGTCCACAAGTCTTTAAAGGCTGGCTGAGGAATTCTGGGAGTTGAAGTCCACAAGTCTTAAAGACTGGTTAAGGAATTCTGGGAGTTGAAGTCCATAAGTCTTAAAGGACTGGCTAAGGAATTCTGGGAGTTGAAGTCCACAAGTCTTTAAAGGCTGGCTGAGGAATTCTGGGTGTTGAAGTCCACAAGTCTTTAAAGGCTGGCTGAGGAATTCTGGGAGTTGAAGTCACAAGTCTTTAAAGGCTGGCTGAGGAATTCTGGGAGTTGAAGTCCATAAGTCTTAAAAGGCTGGCTGAAGAATTTTGGGAGTTGAAGTCCACAAGTCTTAAAGTTGACCAGTTTGGAGACCCCCCTGGTCTAGTCTAATGAAGAGAAGGACTAAGGGTAACACCATGAGTGCAATCTTCCAATATTTGAGAGGCTGCCAGCAAGAAGAGGAGGTCAACCCATTCACCTGAGGGCAGGACAAGAAGCAACGGGTGGAAACTAATCAAGGAGAGAAGCAACTTAGAACTAAGGAGAAATTTCCTGACAGAACAATTTATCAGTGGAACAACTTGTCTCCAGAGGTTGTGGAGGTTTTTAAGAAATTAGACAACTATCTAAAATAGTGTAGGGCCTTCTCCTTGGGGGCATTTTGGTGACTCACCAGTTAAGATGCTGGGCTTGTCGGCTGGAAAGCCAGCAGGCGAGGTTCGAGACCCGGGTGCCAAGCAACGGGGTGAGTTCCTATCCTCGCCCCAGCTTCTGCCAACCTAGCAGTTCAGAATCATGCAAATGCGAGAAGATAAATAGGTACCATTTTGGTGGGAAGGTAGCAGAGTTCCGTGATGTCATGCTGGTCATCTGATCGCGGAAATGTCTTCAGGCAGCGCTGGCTAAATGTCCTTCAAACAGACGTGAGCACACACACTCCTAAAGTTGGCTAAGGCTTTTTACCTTCTCCTTGAGCAGGGGGTTGGACTAGAAGACCTCCAAGTTCCCTTCCAACTGTGTTGTTCTGACAGCCTAGGACCATGATGGCGAGGTGGCAGGCAGAGCCCTCTCTGTGGGCACGCTTGCCATTGCCAGCTGCTCTTCTGGTTTCCGGTGTGGCAGCCAGCTGGTCTTTGTGGGTATCAGAGCGCCGGAAAATGGCCAAAAAACAGGCCATTTTTGGGCCGTTTTCTGGGCCATTTTCAGGCTGTTTTGGGGCCATTTTCTGGGCTGTTTTTGGCCTGAAACAGCCCAAAAATGGCCCGAAAAACAGCCTGATAAAGGCCTGAAAATGCCCCCCAAAACAGCCAAAATAGGTCGTTTTTTGGGCTGTTTTCAGGCCGTTTTCGGCCAAAAACGGCCCGAAAAACTGCCTGAAAACTGCCTGAAAACTGCCTGAAAACTGGCCTGAAAATGGCCGAAAAAACAGCTACAAAACAGACATGTGCGTGCCGGCCAGCTGGACTTCGGGTTTCCGGTGTTCTGGCGTGCTCATGCACACACATACACGCACGTTGCAGTTTGGGCACTCGGTGCCAAAAAGGTTTGCCATCCCTGGTATAGGACATTGGAAATGTAGTTTTCTTTACATGCCCTGTGTTCATTGGCAAATACGTTTTAATAGCACTTTTTTTTTTTAAAAAAAAGATATCTCTCAACAGAGACAAAAGCAAAATAAAGAAGTGGATAAGATTGCATAAGTGAGAATGCAAGGCTGCTGTCAGGTTTCGAGGTCGTCTCAAATAAATTGCATTTCAAACAAAGTCTTTGATGAAAAACTCCCATTTATTAAGCACGACATTCTAACTCCGACTCCATCGCAGCCAACACTGACTTCCTGACCCAAAACCCTCCCTTTCCTTTCCCCACTCCTCTGCACTCATTGGCCATCTTCCAAGTCACTCTACCCCTAATCTACTGCTCCAGCTTAAAGGAATTTCCTCCCTCCCATCCCATCTCCTAGGGGATATTATCTCCAGGGAAAATAAGTAGGTGAAAAGTCAAACGTCCCTTTCCAGACGCCTCCGCTTCTCCTTCTTATGTCAGCACTAGAGTAAATGCAGCTTGAAGTGCTGACAGCTGCCTTTTCTCCTGGCAAGGCTGGCCTCCTTTTTTCCTGTAAAAACATGGCCTGGGGAATTGCCAGCATATGGCGGGACTGCCATCCAGTGTGCAAAGCCAAGGAGATGTTATTTACAAATGGATAATGGGAAATTAGCCGGGTGGAATGCAAACGATCTCTAGGGTGAGGGGGCGCTAGGGGAAGTCCCTTGCAATGGCTGTTTAATTTTTTATTTTCCTTGGTAATTGACATGCAGCCTGCTGCCTGAGAGGCTCCAGGCTGCTTCCAAGGGAACAGTAGAGCCAGCATGAAAAGCTATCAGGGTTTGGAGTAAAGGAGGTTGAATAGTATTCTAGGATTTAGGTAAATAAATCTCTTTTGAGCCTCTTTGTAAGCTGTAATAGGGAACAGGTTCATTTAAATTGGCCAAAATGGGGAGCAGACTTCAACATCAATAACCAGCTTCCCCCCTTTCTCCATGTTTCTGTGTCTGTACATGTGTATGTGCGTGTTGGAGGCGGGATAAGTAAGAGACACACAAAGAAGCATAGTGAGCAGAGAATGCAGTAGAATAAAAGATATGCAACTTCTCTGTTATTTTTCATCCGATGATCTGCCTCTGCCAATGGCTGGTCTCTTTTTTTTATCCAAGTACGTATTAGAATAGAGTAGAGTAGAATAGGATAGGATAGGATAGGATAGGATAGGATAGGATAGGATAGGATAGGATAGGATAGGATTCTTTATTGGCCAAGTGTGATTGGACACACAAGGAATTTGTTTTGGTGCATATGCTCTCAGTATACATAAAAGAAAAGATATGTTTATCAAGAATCATAAGGTACAACACTTAATGATAGTCATAGGGTACAAATAAGCAATCAAATCATATTAGGAAACAGTCAGTGTAAATCGTAAGGATACCAGCAACAAGGTTCAGTCATACAGTCATAAGTGGGAGGAGATGGGTGATAGGAACGATGAGAAGACTAATAGTAATAGTAATGCAGACTTAGTGAATAGTTTGACAGTGTTGAGGGAATTATTTGTTTAGCGGAGTGATGGCGTTCGGGAAAAAACTGTCCTTGTGTCTAGTTGTTCTGGTGTGCAATGCTCTATAGTGCTGTTTTGAGGGGAGGAGTTGAAGCAGTTTATGTCCAGGATGCGAGGGGTCTGTAAATATTTTCCCAGCCCTCTTTTTGACCCCTGCAGTATACAGGTCCTCAATGGAAGACAGGTTGGTAGCAATTGCTTTTTCTGCAGTTCTAATTATCCACTTATCCACTGAATTATCCACTGAAAACAGCCCCAAAACAGCCTGAAAAAGGCCTAAAAACGGCTCCCAAAATGGCCAAGCTAAGTCATTTTTTGAGACGTTTTCGGGCCAAAAGTTGCCCAAAAAACTACCTGAAAACAGCCCGAAAAACAGCCACAAAACTGACATGCATGCGCCGGCCAGCTGGTCTTTGGATTTCTGGCACTCTGGCGCGCGCACGCACGGACACATGCCTACACATTCCGGTTTGGGCACTCGGTGCCAAAAAGGTTCGCCATCACTGGTATAGGGTAGTGATGGTGAACCTTTTCGGCACCGAGTGCCCAAACCGGAACGCACATGTATTTGCGTGCATGCGTGCATGTGCCGGAGTGCCGGAAATCCAAAAACCAGCTGGCCAGCACATGCATGCCTGTTTTTTGGCTGTTTTCAGGCCGTTTTTTCAGCTCACAAAATGGCCTGAAAACGGCCCAAAAAGTGGCTTAAAAATGGTCCAAAAACAGCCTGAAAATGGCCCCAAAAACGGCTTGAAAACGGCCTGTTTTGGGGCTGTTTTCCGGGCCATTTTCAGGCCATTTTCCAGCACACGGTGTCAGCGTTCCAATTTATATCTCCTCCAGCGCTGACATGAATGAGAGAGGGAGAAGCTTTGCTTTAATGCTGAGATGAACTTTAACTTAGTTTCCTGCTCTTTAGTAGATAGCGTTACCTGGGTGATAGAGGGAGGGGGGAATTCCTGTGAATAGAAAGTGCTTGGGACGAAGAGATGGATCTGCACGATGGCCAATGAGACATTGGGGTTGAAGAATGGAAAGGGAGGGTTTTGGAAGGAGGTGCCAGTTTTGGCTGCACAAAGAGTTCAGGGATGTCGTTCTTTCTATTCTTAAATAAAGAAAAGATTCATCAGAGACCTTGCGTTTGAGAATGAAGTTTATTTAAGATAGCTGCGAAACCTGACACATGGAAGACCAGAAGAGCAGCTGGCGACGATGAGCGTGCCCACAGAGAGGGCTGTGTGCCACTTCTGGCACAGTGCCATAAGTTCACCATCACGGGTATAGAGTCTCCTGCTGGAGCAGCGGGCTGGACTTGAAGACCTCAAAGGTCCCTTCCAGTTCTATTCTATTCTATTCTAACACAATTTTCACATTTTTTACGCAGAGGGGACTATTGGGACAGCCACACAGGTCCTTCCCCGCGGTTACTGGTTCGACCTCTTGTACGCCACAGTCCTCCTGTTCCTGTGCCTTCTCGTCTGCCTTGTGGGTGCCGGCATCTACGCTAAGGCCACCTTCCTCATCTTCCTCATCGTCATGGTGGTGCTGGGTACTGTCTGCCTCAGCTTCTTTATCGTGGGCGTCCGGGTTGTGGGGCTTCCCGCGACCACGGATGGCAACCGCACCGAACTCGCCAATGCGTCCTTCACCGGATTCAAACTCAGCACCCTCCTGGATAATCTGCATGGTAAGTTGCACGGGACTCTTCTGGATCCCTTGGCCTTGACTTGAAGGCGATGTTGTGCAACGGTCACTAAACGAAGGGTTGTAAGTTGAGGACCACCTGTACAGCCATACAACCCTTCGTTTAGTGGCCGTTGAAAGTTACGACGAAAAAAGTGGCTTATGACCGTTTTCATACTTACGACCACTGCACCATCCCCGTGATCACAGGGTCAAAATTCAGACCGGTTCATATTTATGACGGTTGCAGTGTCCCGGGGGGGTCACGTGATCACCTTTTGCGACCTTCTGACAAGCAAAGTCAATGGGGAAGCCGGATTCACTTAACAACTGAGCCTTGGTAGTACAGAGCCTTGGTAGTACAGTGGTCTAAAGCACCCTGTTATTAAGACCAGCTGCCTGCAATTACTGCAGGTTCGAATCTCGCCAGGCTCAAGGTTGACTCAGCCTTCTATCCTTTCTAAGGTAGGTAAATTGAGGACCCAGTTGTGGGGGCAATAAGCTGACTTTGTATAAATATACAAAAGGATGAAGGCTATTGCTTAGCGCATTGTAAGCCGCCCTGAGTCTCCGGAGAAAGGCGGCATATAAATCAAATTTAAAAAAAAAAAATCGTGTGACTAAAATAAGAACTGCTGTGATTCATTTAACATTTGTGGCAAGTTAAATGGGGCAAAATTCATTTAGCAACTGTCTCACTCAGCAGCAGCTCTTTTCGGGTCAGTTGTGGTCATAAGTTGAGGTCTATATGTACAAGATTAGAGGCTGCCAACCTTGCTTTCTATAGCCAGCTGCAGTTATGCTACCTCCGGGGTCGGCAACCTTAAACACTCAAAGAGCCATTTGGACCCGTTTCCCACAGAAAAGAAAACACCGGGAGCCACAAAACTCTTCCCCTGCCTGACTATTTACTGAGCAACCACAAAACTAGCATATGTAGTTGAATTAAACGTTCTGTTTTCTTCTGAAACTTTTCTTTTCTTGGATTTATCCATGATTGGCCTGCTGGGGGTCGAAAAGCTTAATAAATTTTGCGTTGGTGGGTGTCGCAATTTGGCAGGTGTGACCCACATTTTGAGCAACAGGGAGCCGCAGAAGAGGGATGAAAGAGCCATATGTGGCTCCAGAGCTGCGGGTTGCTGACCCCTCTCCTACCTCAACAGGCCATGGTTTATGCCTGAAACCCTCCTTTGAAGCTTGCCAAGGGCCTTGTGTCGCAAAGGCGCTTTTTCAGGAGGCAACTGGACATTCTTGTTCTTTCTTTGAAGATGTTTCCCTTCTCACCCAAGAAGCTTCTTCAGTTCTGACTGGATGGTGTGGGATGCAAGTTTCTCCAGTCAGAACTCAAGAAGCTTCTTGGAGGAGAAGCGAAACGTCTTCAAAGAAAAAACAAGAAAGCCCAGTTGCCTTTTTAAAAAGCACTTTGGGGACGGCTATGACCTGGATGACTGAGAATCTTCTAGACCAAAGGGCCTGGTGAAATTCTGACACTTTCAGCCATTTTTAAAACGCTGGTTTTTAATTGGGCTGGCTGATGCCACTTGGCTGACTTCGTGCCCATCGTTTCTAGAGAAGAAAAACTATTTCTTTAGGAAAGATGGCTGGTTTTTAAGCCTGATAGCTGCAGCGGGAAGCCCGTAGCTCAGTGTTTCTCAACCTTGGCAACTTTAAGATGAGTGGACTTGAGGAGTTCAAGTCCACTCATCTTAAAGTTGCCAAGGTTGAGAAACACTGACCTACCGTATTTTTTGGACTGTAAGACACACTTTTTTGTCTCCCAAAAGGGGATGAAAATGTCTGTGTGACTTATAGACCAAATATTGCCGAAGCACCACCCACCCCTTTCTTGGCCTCAACACACCCTGTTTTCAGGCCTTTTTGGGAAAAAACAAGGCAAAAAAATCCTCAAAAACAGGCCGAAAAAAGCCTCAAAAACAGGCCGAAAAAATCCTCAAAAACAGACCGCAAAAAACCCTCAAAAACAGGCCAAAAAAAGCGTCAAAAACAGGCCGAAAAAAGACCCAAAATCAGGCCAAAAAAAGCCTTGAAAACGGGCTTTAAAAAGCCTAAAAAACAGGCCGGAAAAAGCTTTGAAAACAGGCAGAAAAAAAGCCTCAAAAACGGGCCAAAAAAAGCCTCGAAAATGAGCCAAAAAAGCCTCGAAAAAGGGCCAAAAATAGGGCCAAAAAAAGGGCCAAAAATGGGGAATGCGGAGGCCAAAAACTTTTATTTGTTTTCCTCTTCTAAATTTAGGTGTGTCTTATAGTCCAAAAAAATACAGTAAATTAACTGCAAAAGAAACTAATCTAAGGCATTTTGCTGTCTAAAAAAATAGGGCTGGTCTAGCTTAGAAAAGCAATTCAATCTTTTCCAATTACAGGTAGTCCTTGACTTATAACAGTTCATTTAGTGACCATTCCAAGTTATGACCACAGTGAAAAAAAGGGACTTATGACCGTTTTCCACACTTATGACCGTTGCAGCATCCCCATGGTCATGTGATCAACATTTGGCCGCTTGGCAACTGGTTCCTATTTATGACGATTGCAGTGCCTCAGGGTCTCGCGATCCCCTTTTGCGACCTTCTGACAATCAAAGTCATTGGGGAAGCCAGTTTCTAACTAACTTAACAAGTGCAGCGATTCACTTCACAAGAAAGATTGCAAAATGGGGCAAAGCTCACTTAAGCAATGCCTCACTTAGCATCAGAAATTTTGGGCTCAATTGTGGTCGTAAGTTGAGGACTGTTGTATATGTACAACCAACTGTGCCAAACTGAATTTGGGATGGTAATTATAGTCAAGGCATCCTCCTGCAAGGGGGGTGGGTGGGGTTTCCTCTACATCTGACGGAACAGCTCCTCGGTCATTAAATGAGGAAGAATTGTTTTTAGGGAGGGAGGGCGCCCTGCTTTTTTTCATCCTTGTTGTGGCAACCCAGTGTGTTGAGTTTTTAATGTTTTTAATGTTTTTAATTTTTAAATGTTTTTTATAATGATTTTTTAAAATGTATTGTGAGCCGCCTTGAGTCTTCGGACAGCGGCGGCATATAAATTGAATTAATTAAATTAAATTAAATTAAATTAAACTAAACTAAACTAAACTAAACTAAACTAAACTAAACTAAACTAAACTATTAATTAAGTTAAGTTAAGTTAAGTTAAGTTAAGTTAAGTTAAGTTAAATTAAATTGACAATTTTGCTTTACACTGTCCTTTTGCAGCGGACTATAGTGTCGATTACACAACTGGCCGGCTGATGAGCTTCAGCACTGTCTTTGCCGTCATGTTCAACGGTTGCACGGGAATCATGGCTGGGTCGAACATGTCAGGTGCGTGGGAATCCATCAGGCTGGAAGGGGAGGATGGGTAGCAGGGAAGGTCGAGGCAGGAGGGCCCCTCCTTTTTCACTGGGATGCTCCTTGAGCAAGGTTTCCTCTCGTTCCAGGCGACCTCAAGCGGCCCAGCTATTCCATTCCTCGGGGCACCATCATGGCCGTGATATTCACCTACATTGTGTACAATTTGTTGGCGGTCCTCCTGAGCTGCACCTGCGACAGGTAGGTAGTGGACCGCCCACCAGGGGGCGCACATATCCTACACAGCAATCCTAGGTGAGGAAAAAATCAAGGTTTCTCTCAAGCTCAGCAACTTTAAGAGGCGTGGACTTCAACTCCCAGAATTCCCCAGCCAGCATGAGCTTCCAGGCTTCTTAAAGTTGCTGAGCTTGAGAAACTTCCCTTCCTCCCTTTTCTTTTTCTTTTTCTTTTCTTCCTTCTTTCCTCCCTCCCTCCCTTTTTCCTTCCTTCCCCTTTTCCTTCCTTCCTTCCTTCCTCACTCTTTCCCCCTTTTTCTTTCCTTTCTTCCTCTCTCCCTCCTCCTTTGTCCACCCTCCCTCCCTCCCTCCTTTCTCTTTCTTTCTTTCTTTCTTTCTTTCTTTCTTTCTTTCTTTCTTTCTCCTTCCTTCCTTTCTTTCTTTCTTTCTTTCTTTCTTTCTTTCTTCCTTCCTTCCTTCCTTCCTTCCTTCCTTCCTTCCTTTCTTCCTTTCTCTCTCTCTCTCTTTCTCTCTCTCTTCTCTCTCTTTCTTTCTTTCTTTTTCCAGATCAAAAGATAGAATCCTCCATTCAGCTGCCTGGAATTGATCCCTGCCCCATGCTGCTCATTTTTCCTCTTATCCCCCTCTGTTGCCTCCGTTCTCTTTCGGCCTTAAAAACAGCCACTCTTGTTTCATTTGGAAATCCAATTGCTTAGCCCGAGTTCCATCAAATCAGGTCTCTAGGTATAAAACGCCCCATGCTGCGTCCTTCAATTGGCTCACGCAAATGAATAATCCAATTCTAATCCGCCTGCCTTTTATCAGCCTAGTTCAAAAGTTTTCCCAGTGTTGGAATTGACGCTGAAATTCAGAAGTTGGGTGAGGGAGTTTTCTGGCCTTAAATCAGCATTTCCCAAGTTTACCCATTTTAAGATACGTGGACTTCAACTCCCAGAATACCGCACGGTGGCTGAGGTATTCTGGGAGTTGAGATCTGCTAAGATATTTAAATTTAGTAGCTGCAGTAGTGAAGGATTGTGCAATCTGCGCTGTGATTGGTTGCTGTGGGTGCGGAGGAGGAGTTTCCCTTTTCCCCCGCCTTTTTCTTCTGTGTGCTCTTTATGCTGTTTGCGGTTTACCTCATGATGCTCCTATTTACCTGACTATCTTGTCTGCTGCAAATAGAGATGCTAAATATATTAATTTATATAAAACCACAAGTTTGTGTCAGCGTCTCTGACATCATTTGGACACCTGCTGCGCAATTTCCTTGACAATTAACCTAGACCAAGTCTAGTCATAGACTACCTGTATACGTCCACTGTTGTGCAAGAAACACCTTAACAAATATCTTAACACAACACAAACTGTTGTGTTAAGATATTTAAATTTAGTAGCTGGAGCAGTGAAGGGTTGTTCAATCAGCCAGAACACACAGTTGTGGTTGATTGATTGGAGAGGGCTGGTTCCCGCGTGAGGCAATCTGCGCTGTGATTGGTTGCTAGGGGTGTGGAGGGGGAGTTTCCCTTTTTTCCCGCCTTTTTTCTGTGATTTACCTCATGATGCTCCTGTTTGCCTCACTAACTACCCTGTTTCCCAGGGGTAAAATGTAAAATTTGTTACTACCGGTTCTGTGGGCGTGGCTTGGTGGTGGTGGGTAATGTGACTGGGTGGGCGTGGCCAACTTTTTTTTTTTTTAAACTTTTCAAAGCATTTTTTCTAATGCTTTGAAAAGCCTCTGCCCATCAGGCAACTCAGCTGGGATGGTCAGAGACATTTCACCACCTCTTCGGCCAAGAAGTTGCAGAAAAAAATGCTTTGAAAAGCCTCTGATGATCCCAGCTGAGCCACGCGATCATCAGAGGCTCTTTTTTTTTACTTTTAAAAGCATTTTTTCATCGGAAGAGGTTGTAGAAAAAATGCTTTTAAAAGTAAAAAAAAAAAGCCTCTGATGATCGTGCGGCTCAGCTGGGCATGTGCGGGGGGGACGCAGGGATTTTTGCTACCGGTTCTCCGAACCACCCACCGCCATCTCTACCGGATCAGGCAATCCGGTCTGAACCGGGAGCATTTCACCCCTGCTGTTTCCCCCCAAATAAGACATCCCCTGATAATAAGCCCAATCGGGTTTTTGAATGCATGGCAGTAAGGCCAAGCGCTTATTTCAGGGTTCAAAAAAATATAAGACAGGGTCTTATTTTCGGGGAAACACGATAGTTCGCTGTATACATTGACATAAAATGTATTTATTTATATAAAAACACAAGTTTGTGTCAGCGTCTCTGACTTCATTTGGATACCTGCTGCGCAATTTCCCTGACAAAATCCACACGTCTTAAAATGGTGACGGTTAGGAAACACTGAAGAGAAAGATGTAAGACAGAGGAGACAGAATGTGGAGAATTTGCAGTGTTTTCCTGAAATGGGCGTTTTGGATGAGTTGGGAGTTGGGGACAGACATTGCTTGCTTTCATCAGAGCGGTGCGGTGGCCTAGAGGTGGAGCTCTCGCCTCACAATCAGGAGGCTGTGAGTTTGATCCTAGGTAGAGGCAGATATTTCTCTCTCTGGGCACGATGAGAAGATAGCTGCTGAATATAACTCCGCATTGGTGACAGGAAGGGCATCCGGCCAGTAAACACTCAGCTCCATTCAGTTGCCCAGATTCCGCCCCGCAAGGGATTATGGGGTCGTTAAAATAAGGATGATGATTGCTTGCTTTCATCACTGGTCAAACATGGTTGTGTAGTGCGTTGTGATAGTCAGGTCAATTCAGTTACATCCTTTTGTCTGGGTGCCTAATACAAGTAGAGGTAGCCTTTGAATTAATAACCACAATTGAACCCAAAATTCCTGTGGCTAGGTGAGCCATTTGTTAAATAGGTTTGTCCTCATTGTACAACCTTTCTTGCCCAGTTATTAAGTGAACCACTGCAGTTGTTAAATTAGAGGGAATCCTCAACTTCTAACACTTCATTTAGTGGCTATTCGAAGTTACAACGGCACTGAAAAAAGTGACTTAGGACCTTTTTATCAGACTTACGACCTTTGTAGCAACCCCACGCTCATGTGATCAAAATTCAGATGCTTGGCAACTGATTCATACTTATGACCATTGCTGTATCCCAAGGTCATGTCATTTTACCTTTTGCAAACTTCTGACAAGCAAAATCAATGGGGAAGCCAGATTCACTTAACAACCGTGTTACTCACTTATCAGCTGTGGTGATTCCCTTAAAAACTGTGGCGAGAAAGGTCGTAAAATGGGACAAAACTCGCTCAAAACAAATGTCTCGCTTAACAACAGAAATGTTTGGGCTCAATTTTGGTTGTACGTTGAGGACTACCCGTAGCCACACGGTTGTTATGCGAACCTGGCTTCCTCATTGACTTTGCTTGTCAGAAGGTCGCAAAAGAGAATCCAGAGAGGCTGCAACTGTCATAAAATGTGAACCAGTTGACAAGCGCCCGAATTTTGATCACGTGACCATGAGGATGCTACCATATGAAAAATAGTCATGTCTCTTTTTTTAGTGCCATTTTAACTTGAAACGGTCACTAAATGAACTGTTGTAAATCGAGAACTACTTGTTATATCAGTTGCGGCCTTGTGCGATGATGCATGGCTGGCTGGGGAATTCTGGGAGTTGAAGTCCATGTCTCTTAAAAGTGGCCAAGGTTGAGAAAACCTGTTCTAAACCATCCCTCTCATATTCCCACTTCCTGATTTTTTCCCCCTCTTGGTCTTCTAAAAACAATCTGGGAAAAACTAGACTCTTCTCTCGGTGCAGGAGTCTGGTTTGAAAGGTCTCCATCACAAATAGGTAAAGGTGAAGGTTCCCCTCGCACATATGTGTTAGTCGTTCCCGACTCTAGGGGGCTGTGCTCATCTCCGTTTCAAAGCCGAAGAGCCAGCGCTGTCCGAAGACGTCTCCGTGGTCATGTGGCCAGCATGACTCAACGCCAAAGGCGCGCGGAACGCTGTTACCTTCCCACCAAAGGTGGTCCCTATTTTTTCTATTTGCATTTTTTACGTGTTTTCAAACTGCTAGGTTGGCAGAAGCTGGGACAAGTAACGGGAGCTCACCCCGTTACGCAGTGCTAGGGATTCGAACCGCTGAACTGCCGACCTTTTGATCGACAAGCTCAGCGTTTTAGCATCACAAATGGTGGTGCTTAATCCCACCCAGAAAAGGGAAAACTGCCATCCTCTTGATGTCAGTGTCAGGGTTCTTAGTAACACACCCAATGAAAGAAACTCTGAGGCTTGAGTTTCCTCAGAATTATTTCAAGCCATCTTTTGCATTGGGCCTTCAGGCCTGCCACATTTCCTACTGTGGGAAACTGGGAGGGGGGATTGTATGGAGCAAGGGTGATATATTTTATTTATTTATTTATTTATTTTTTAAATTTTTATACCGCCCCCTCTCCCGAAGGATTCAGGGCGGTGAACAGCCAAAATTAAAAACACACAATACAAATATTAAAATACATTAAAATGAAATCTTTGGCTTCCCCAATTTAAAACCCCTTACCCATAAAATTCCCCAATTAAAAGATGTTTAACCCAGCCAGGCTTGCTGAAATAAAAAAGTCTTCAGGGCCCGGCGGAAGGTATGGAGGTCCGGGATCAGTCGTATCCCTGGGGGTAGCTCCTTCCAGAGGGCGGGTGCCCCCACAGAGAAGGCTCTTCCCCGGTGGGGTCGCCAGCCGACATTGCCTGACAGACGGCACCCTGAGGAGGCCCTCTCTGTGGGAGCGTGTTGGCCGGTCATAATATATAGTCATAATAACATAATATATAGTCATAATAACATTCCTTTCTCAGAGAGTCAAGGACATCTTGCCCTGGAACTGGGAGGTAGGTATCTCCAGTTGGGACGGTGCTTTGACTGGACCATGTGATGGACATGTGGGTGTTAGGCAGGGGCCTGGACTTTCCTTTGTGTGGGGAAAACCTGGAAGCTTTCAGATTCGGGTTTTCCCAGATGTGCCAATATGACATCTCTAATAAAATGGAACTTTGA